ATTCCATTCATCGAGTTTATCTTTGCTTTACCACGGCAACATAAATGAATTTCTCGCTAAGCTCGCAGCACAGTTCGACAGTAGATGATGTTAGCTTGCGCCTGAAACAACACACTTATTGGGAAATTCATTTTCAATCGGGTTATTCACGAAAGAGAAAATCGATGAAGAGAATCGATCAACAATGATAGGTCCTTTTCTCGTGTTGCACGAGAAGTAATGAAATTGGGTTATTAGGGGAATGCTTAAATGAAACATCAAAAAATGGTATCTTCCATTTAATCCCACATTATTAATTTTGGTATCCATGACAGATACAATGTGCTGTCTTCATCAGTGTCATTACCACTGAAGACTTATCAAAATCTGACTTCCTTAAGTTCTCATCGCCTAGGTAAAAGCGTTCCGTGTTTTTCACTTGTTTGGAAGCTCCTTATAGCAAGACTTTCCACAAAAAATCACAAAAATTGGTGATGTTTTCGAAGAGTTACTAATCAAATCTAATCCAATCCAATTGATATTCCTCCATCATCTATAGGCCTATTCTGCGCGGCGTGTGATGTGAGGTGACAGTGAAGTGATGGTGAAGTGACAATTGTCACCTCGGGTGAGGTGACTCTCCATTTAATTTGCATGGAGAGGCACCTCACCCGAGGTGACAATTGAGTTCTTTAAGGGTATTGAGGTAAATGCATATTCGTAATCTGAATTAGAAATGGAACCCAAACCCAAAATTTCATCAATTTTGGTACACTGGAACTATTTTAAATAAATTTACAAAAATCAGCTTATTAGTTTGTCTGTTTCGTGTCAAACAGTGAAGCTATTATGAAAGTGTGTGGGTTCGAAAAAAATATCGCTGTGCTCAGAAAACGAAGCTCCTTCAGATGATATATAAAAACCGAGATATTTTTCAAAATTAAAGAACCCAATTGTCACTTCACCATCACGTCACTATAACCTCGCCTCACACGCCGCGCAAAATAAGCCTATAGACGAGTGCACGGATGGATTTGAGTTCACTCACTCGACAAAAAGTGACACAAGAGCGGGGCCCTGTTTACTAAAAATGAACACATATGTGTTCATTTTTAGTAAACAGGGCCCCGCTGTTGTGCCACTTTTTGTCGAGTGAGTGAACTCAAAGCCATCCGTGCACTCGTCTATATGTTTCGAAGCTGCGTCACACATACCAAAACGACCAGGCCTACTGTGCAGCATCCCGAAAACATCGGGCCTGTTTAAATCGCTAAGCGCTGACAACATCTGAGTAAAATAATGTGGTTTCATTATGCCTTTCACACAATCATGGGGCATTTAACGATTTGTAGTGACTAAACTTCCATAAAGTTTACGAACTTTGTCCCACTGCTCTATAAGAGAAAGTTGTAAATATTGAATAAGGGATCCTGTACCGTTTGAATCAAAATGCTTTGAGATATCAGAAATTTTATTTTTTCAACTAAGGTCAACCTTTTGACCCACCTTATTCTACCTAATTTATCGGGATGCATCACGAATAGTACCTATGCTTCTAACGTGCCCTGATCATTGTTCAATTGATCCATAGTGTAGAGTATACATTTTTTAAGCAATTCCGCAGCTGAAAGCCAACCACGATATTAGCAACTAATGTGTACGCCGATACCATTAATCCGTATATTTGTTTTCATGTGTCTGCAAACAGTTTTCAAATAAGTTATGCCTTAGTAAAGATGACTCGATACTCCAACGGTTGCGGTAGTAATTTAAACAAAACCTATATGCATCGTAAAATATTCATAGATTGTTTTCCAACCCACGGTATTAGAGGCTGCGCGGAATTAGTACAGGCTACGGTACCTCAAAAATAGTTATTGATCACCTTGAAATAATCTCAGAATTTTTGAGATAGTACTGAATGTATCCAAATAGTATGAATTTGACCTAGGTGCAGTGTACTTGCACTCGAAGTCTAGCCTTCATTCTCAAATGGCGAAACGAGGAAAATATATTGATCTAGATTAACCTTTTGGGAACTTTCTTTAGAAAGTTTTCCGTTATTTTTAAATGCAAAAATGCAGTTTTGTAAAAAATAGGCTAGAATAAATATAGAGTTTGACCACAGCTGTAAAATATCTACCGCAGGTATTGCGACGTTTACACATGTATTACCACAGTCAAATTTCGCAAGCAAAATGCATTTCACACATAGTGGTTTCATCTTTTGACAGTTAAATGTGGCATCCTACAAGAAAACAGTTACCTTGTTGTGTGACAAATAGTCACTGTGATCGACTGTGACAATTGTCATTGTTGCAAATGTTTCAGCAAAATGATATTCGACACACTTCACTATTATCACAGAAGTCAGAACAATCATGCAAAGCATAATATCCTATAAGAATAAGCTAAATAATGCCAACAATTTGGTATGTATCATTGACAAACTTGACGTATTTTTGATGGCGATTCCTTGAAATCTTGATTCGTTGACAAGGGCCCATGCATTAATTATGTCACGCTAAATCGAGGAGAAATTCACCCCCCCCCCTATCGTGACGTTTTCCCTATACCTAATGCACTGATTGTCACAAAATCTTAGAACTATAGATATGCGAAGATTAGACAAAGCTTAACATTTGAATCAACGCTAATCAATTTAACACTTAAATTCCGAGATGTGTAGTGAGCATTTCTCACCTCATTTTTACAACGCAAAAACAAATACAGTTTACTACTAGCATTCAAATCTACTTTTTTACATATCTATAACAAGCTTACACTCTATTCTATCTACTGTTTCAAAAAGAACTATGTTCCGTCAACTGTGTGCAAAGTTATTAGCAAATGAGCAGTTCGTGACCAAAACTGTGTATGCCAAGCAAGGTTCTTCGTGATAACCGCTATCCGTCTTCTGGTTCGCCCGGGTGGTGTCAAACGCCCGGTCTGATCTACGAGGTGTGCTGAAGGTGTCCCTGGAAAATTAGCTTTGAAGCAACAGAGACGCACTCTGTACGGTTTCGGAGGTTAAATCATCACCAACTTTGGCAACAAAACGGCTCTGTTCAGGGCCAACAAGCTTATTACAGTACAGAGTTGGAATATAATTTATCTGTGTCTGTTTGTCCATATTCAGAACCAAACGCCCCCAACGACCACACAAAATGCTCTCCAGAGTTGTAATATTGTAACCAATTTTGGAAGCAGGGGTGCAAGTGATTTTGATAGATTCTCTTCATCATCTTTCTCTTTGAAAGAAAATACTACAAATTTGGTACGCCTACAATTCAAAAACGGAAAGAGTTAAGATAATAGATCATCGATCAATTAATGTTCCGTCCACTAGCGGTCCTACGTCAAGCTTCCGTTCGTGCCCCTAGACACAGGCCCTTCTACTTTTTTACGAAGAAATACTGGCCATCTATTTCCATAAAGGCCACCGAAGGGCTCGGCTTGATAAGCCCTCTGAATTATTTTTCTGACGTTTGTCCCGAACACCAATGAAATCGCTTTTAAATTATGCATAGTTAAATTAATTTAGATTGTTAACAACACATTCTCATCTAATGAATGCAAAAGAAATTTAGGCTACATGAAACAGGACTTTTAGCTAGACTTCTAAGGTGATATAGTACGTCATGCAACAATAGCTGTCCCTACAATCATTAAATAAACGTGTTTTGGTGTGCCTACGAAAGACATCTTCCTACAAAATAGTAAATTATCAACGATATGTTTTAAGTAACTATTGATAGACCTTATTTTCTATGAAAATACGAGAGCTTTTAAGTGCTTTATCATTAAGATCTTTTGTCATCACCTTTGCATGGGTCCCATCTCATTGCTCGATTCCGGGCAATGAGATGGCGGACTCACTTGCTAAGGTGGGCGCTATGGAAGGCGATATTTACGATCGACAAATCGCCTACGATGAATTTTTCTTCATTTATCGTCAACAGTCACTCGTCAGCTCGCAGAATAAATGGAGCGAAGGAAGTTTGGGACGATGGCTATATTCGATCATCCCTAAGGCGTCGAAGAGTCCTTGGTTCAAGGGGTTGGATGTGGGTCGAGACTTCATTCGTATGATGTCTCGCCTCATGTCCAATCACTACTCGTTAAACGCACACTTGTTCTGTGTTGGGGGACAGCAATCTCTGTGAATGTGGACAAGGTTACCAGGACGCAGATCACATTATTTGGTCTTGTGCTGAGCATCGCGGAGTCAGATATGAACTGTACGATTCCCTTCGGGCTCGAGGTAGACAACCTAATGTTCCAGTTCGAGATATTTTGGCTAGACGCGATCTGGAGTTTATGAAACTTATATATGTTTTCTTTAAGAATATTAACCTTAGATTGTAAGTTTGACTAACCTTGTGTTTCGTTTTTGTTTTGTTCGTGTGGGTTTTTTTTAATGTTTGTTTCTGTAATAATTGTATAATTACACTGTGGATACCAAATTGAATAGGAAAAGTTCATGTTTTAGGAATAATGAAATATTTGTATAGTAAATCATAACTCAATCCTCGTCCTCCCTCTCCCCATCCATAAAACTGTAAATCTCTACTAACCTCGAGATGACCGCGAGTAATCGGTTCAGTTCCTTTAAATCTAGGTTTAAGACATCAATTATGTATAACGCAAATGATAACTTGGCTCTGTAAAGTTTATTCGATTGAGCCTGTACAAATAAATTAATTAATAAAAAAAAGACCTTATTTTCTGATATAGAAATCTTATAACAGTATTGACATTTTGAGCTAGTCTAACATTTTTCGAATATTAGAAATTAGATTAAATGAAATTGTTAGTTGAACTAGGCATCTGTTGCATTAAGCTTGCAACAGATTTTTTGTAAACTAGGTTCAATAAGTTGATTTTTAAGCGGGTGGCCACATTGCCCCACTTTCTCCGGTTCAAATTACGTAGGTATACCAAAATAGAGACACATTCATCCTCGCGACGTATCTTACACAAGCAAGGCAATTTTCGGCATAAAGTAAACCCGTAAAAAGTGCTATTCTTCGTAATTATTACTAGACAGTTAAACAACCGCCATTTCCGTTAGTGACACTTACACATCTAGATTAAATTCACTAGGTACACTAAACTAACGACTATTTATTAAAAAAAAACGCTCGCACTGGTACCATAGGCAAAACACCTTTTCGATACGAGTTTTTTTTTTTTTGTTGTGAAAACGAGCAGGGCTTCTTTTTGGTTTGAGCTTTTGACGTGTCATAAATGTACAAACAATGGCTTCTGCAACACTCGCATTTAAAATTATCGGTTTTGTTATATTTTTTACAAACAAAAAAACTCAAAATGGCATTTGATTGACTAGAATTCCGACGTATCCTGCACGGTAGTACCTATGCAGGAGAAGGGGCTAACGATACAAAATTATCCTGTTTTGGCAAATAACTATATCTTTTATTGTACGACAAGATCAGTTCGGTACGTTACAAGACTTTGGTACGAATGCTATTCATATGAAGGGGGAAATTCAACCACCACTGATAAACGTTTCAAAAGATTGAGTGTTTGTTAATGTTGGTACTTACAGATGTGCAAAATTAGTTATCATTTCGCTACGCGTGCAATTCAAAAATTTCTCTACTCCATGATTCGTTGCATTATATTACAACAGCTACTGATTCGTTTCTTGTTAAAAATTCACTTAAACTACGGCACCGAGAAACAATGATGTGTTAGTAAAAGCAAATCCATTTAGTTAGTCAAATCTTCTAGCAATTCTTCGGTGCTGCGGTTGGCTTTCTTGAACTCTTCCATGTACTTTGGCGGAACGGTCCATTCGAGCAGTTCCTGAACGTTTTGCTTCAGCCGAAAGGCCGGATCCAGCGATTTATCGTCGAACGCTTTGCGCCCAGCGCATTTCAACGAATCGACGAGAACGTTATCGATCAATCGCTTATCGAAGCCCAGGTCTTTCAGCCGTTCTTCGGTGGAGATCTTTTTCAGCAGAATCGCCACCAGAAATCTCATTTGCGACAGCGGCATCGGTGGTTCGACTCCACTGTTGGCAGCTTTAACCTAAAATGAAGTGGTGAGGCTCGTCAGTAAAATTGCCCTGCTTTGTTGATTGGTAAGCATCCTACATTTCTATCGATAATCTCTTCAACACTAGTAGCAGACTGCGCTTCCGCCGCACAGCTTGCCATGTGGTTCTGATGGTCCAGTTTGGTCTTGAAAAAGATGTTACAGCTTTTGCAAAGGTACGATTTGTCCTGATTGTGAATAGAGAGCATGTGCTTTTTCAGATGAGGAAGCTGCGAAAATCCCACACTGCAGATGGGACATTCGAATGGTTTTTCACCCGTGTGCTTCCGGATGTGCAGCTTGAGAACACTTGAGTGGGCGAATGCCTGCCAGCAGACCTGTAATAAAGAAAGTGGATAGTTATCGACGTTATCACGAGATTGAGGTTTCGAAAGTACCTGACACCTGTAGGGTCGCTCGCCAGTGTGGATGCGTTGGTGAACTACCAGTTGAGATCGCTGGGAGAAAACAGCCCCACATACGGCACACCCATGTGGGCGAATCATCTTGTGAGTTCTCATGTGCTGCGGCAGGTGCCCCTTGAACATTTTGTTGCAAATGTTACAATGGAATGCCTTCAGATTGGCATGGTAGCACAGTAGGTGCTTTTTCAGCGCATCCGGGCGGAAGAATCCTTTCCCACAGATGTGGCACGTGTAGTCCCGGATGTCCATATGGCTTTTGAGGTGCATCTTGAGGTTGGCAGCACACGAAAACGCCGACGAGCAGTGTGGACACTTGTGTTTCCGGACTCCATTGTGCGTGGCAAGATGTTGAGTCAGCTGAAAGAGTCGAAACGAAATATTGAACAATTTTGCTACCAGTAGAGAACTACTTTAAACATCCTTTAAAGGATACATGGTATACGCAATAAGTGCGCCGTAGTACAACATCAGAGAAATGTCAATCGTGCCATGCCGTAACGACATCGACGTTCCAATTATCCGGTTCTTGTCAGCAAGGACATGAAAGGAATAAGCTCTATTTGCTATTCATATAGAAGGAAAAGAAATATACGGTGGAAAAAATAAAAGAAACGAAAGAAAACTGCCGGGAAATAGGCTCTGGCAACTGGCGAGGCGAGAGAACGAGAGGAAAACAGCAGCGGCACAAAAAGCAATATTTGTATAAGTAATCAATTTATCGTGTTTTTGATTACAACCCCGTGCTGCCCATGTTCCCCAAAATAAACCCCGTCTCGCACCAGTTTCAAAAGTTGGTTCACCCAAATCAAGCTTCCAGGAGCATATTTCGTAAGCGAAAGTACATAGCAGAAGCATAGCCCTAGCATTGACTGTGGGGAACGGGACTACATCTCTATTGCTCCTGACCTGACTGCACATATGCAAAGCATCAGACTGAGAAGTGGAATAGCGATGGAGCGGAACGCTCGTCGTCAATCCCGAGGAACGGAGGCACGGGTGTCAAAAACAGGAGAATAATTTTCAACATATTTTGCCTGGAAGCCGTCGTTCACTCACTGCTACGGCTACTGCCTGCCCCCGTGTGCCTGACGTGTGCGCCGCTATTCGTACCGTGCCTGCCGTACTGGAAAAATCGGCTACCGACGAATGAACCCTCTTCAAACGGGGAAGGCTCGAAGCGGGGGAGTAAATATGAAATCTAAAACATAACGCAGCCGAAGCACCCGTGCTCCCCGTTCCAGTTTATTTAATGCAAATAATATATTTCAACCATGTCGGGTATTGAGTTAATTACCGTATTGAAAAGCTCAATACATGCATTTAAATATCTGTAAACATTTGTCTAATGCATAGGACATTTTTAAACGATTTTTTTTTTTGAGTCAACAAGATGTCACTTGAAAGTTTAATTTATCGTTGAATAGTGCTAATAGCTTCAGAATTCCCTTTGTTCTATTAATCGCTTAGCGCCGACCTCCATAAATCACGTCACGCATTTAGGGGCGGGGAGGGGGTTTGAAGAAACGTGACAATTTATGACATATTGGGAAGGGGAACTAAGCTCAAACGTGACATCACATTTGCTTACGTTTCAAAAAATATACAACGAAAAATTTGATTTCTTTAACGAAGTCGGATAAAGCAATATTTCTCATTCAGCACACAAGCATTTTCCATCATGTTTTTTTTTTTCAAACCACGAGCTGTAATTTTACTGTTATATTTTTTTCTCTTCAAGAGAAATTGATGTTGATTTGAGCTATTAACATTTTGTAATTTTTTTTGACGTTGGATAACGTATTTCGGCAAAATACGGGGGTACAAAATTGACAACAGTCATTTTGGATGCGTTACGAAAAATTGAAAAGATTTTGAACGATAATAACTCAACCGTCTCTCGATAGATTTACGAGATAATGGCATCAATCGATTGGAAATATTTCTAGCAATTTGCTGAATGTTTCAAAACTATTGATTTCATTCTGTAAACTATTGAAAAATGGTTAAAAGTAAACCATTGTCTATAGATGGTGAAAATCGATTGATTTTTTTTATATTCTTATACTTATACAAGGTCTCCAACCGAGACATCAGATGCGAGTATCTGACACCTCTGATATTTTCTGTTCTACTATATAAGCGTCCAACAAGGTCGCCCGTTCCATCAGATCAGTTTTATCTACACTGTACACAAACATCATCCTCTGATCATCATCAGCTCATTCTCTGCTTGAACGTCAAGCAGTACAGTTCGGTCTTTGCTCGCTCTGTCGAGTTGTTCTAAAGTTTCTAGTTTGTTCCAAACATTCGCAGTTTAATCGCGTCGTCAGTAGTGTCGGTCGCTTCGTGTGATGGGAAGACAGCGCTCCCGGAGCAGGCTCCGAGAGAAAACGGAGAAGAAAAACAGCGGTGAGGGTAGCTTGAGTGTACCTATTTCGAATAGGTACGCTACTCTTCCCACCGATGTAGGGAATCCCACCTCAGCCACGGTGAAGCGGTCTAAGAAGAGGAAGAAAAATCAAGGCCAGTCCGATGGTGCGAGTGGACGGGACGATACCACCGCGACGAACGTCAGCGTCATTGGTGATTTCGGCGACGCCGTCGACAACGAAACTGCTGCCAGCCCGAGTGCAGCAAAAATGAAGCTTCCTCCACTGGTAGTGAAGCAAGCCCCACTCAACACGCTGATTGGCGATCTTTCATCGCTGGGCGTTGCAGCTGAGTTTAAGCTCGGCAGGATCGGCACCAAGGTGATGCTCCGAACCAAAGCGGAGTACGAAGTGGCCGTAAAATATCTGAAGGATACCAAGGCGGAATTCTTCACGCACGACATCCCCGGTGAGAAGCCCTTCAAGGTAGTCATCAGGGGTCTACCAAACTTCGACCCCAAGATGGTCGAAGCCGAAATCAACCGGTACAAGCTAGCCCCAATCGCTGTCTTCCGAATGACAAGGAGAGATGAAAACGTGAAGACGTACCCGGATTGTCTTTTCCTGGTGCACTTCCAGAAAGGGACGGTGACGCTCAATGCGCTACAAGCCATCCGATCGATCTACTCCATCATCGTACGGTGGGAGCCATACACAGCAAAAAAATAATTTTGATATCACATCAAAGTGGATGCACTACAATCATGTCGAAAATTTCATGTAATTTTTATGACCACATAAATAAACAAATGCAGTAAAAGCTGCGTAATGTCAGTTCATGCATTGTATTAATGATAATTTTGTCCTTTTTAGCAAGTAATATTACACCATATTTTCGACATGATTGTAGTGCATCCACTTTGACGTGATATCAAAATTATTTTTTTGCTGTGTACCGTGGCGGTCATCGTGACGTAACGCAGTGTCAGAGGTGCCTCAATTTTGGACACGGTACCCGCAACTGCAACATCAAGCCACGCTGCAGCAACTGCGCTCAAGAACACGCCACTTCTAACTGCCCTGCGGATGGAGCCGTGGCGATAAAATGCGCTAACTGTGGTGGTGCACATCAAGGTTCGGACAGACAGTGCTCCAAACGCGAGGACTTCAAACGCATCCGAAAGCAGGCGTCAAGCAACAATCAACCAGGACGCAAGAAGGACAAAACCCCAGCATTAAGGACGGAGGATTTTCCGCCTCTTCGTGCTCCCCAGCAAAGGCAAGCGAATTCGCGGGTGCAACCCGCCCCCCCTCAAGAAGCTTCCGGTGATTCTGCTGGTCAAAGCTCTCCATCCCCCCCTGGATTCTGGAGACAACCAACAGCGCAAAACAACAACCCCGATCTGTTCTCAGCGGATGAAATGATGGAAATTTTCGTCAACATGTCCGGTGCTCTTCGTAAGTGCCGCAATAAGCCCGAACAGATCCAAGTGCTCGGTAAGTTCATCATTCAGTATGGCGTATAAACCGCTAACTATCGTCACCTGGAATGCTTGCTCTGTAAGAGCAAAAAAGATTAAGCTTGCCGACTTCCTCCGCAAGCACAGCATCGACGTGGACCTTCTAACCGAGACCCATCTAAAGTCCGGCGACAGCTTCTGGTTGCCTGACCACAACACTATGCGGCTTGATCGCACCAGCTCCAGGGGGGGTGGTGTTGCGGTCGTCGTCAAGAAAGGAATAAAATACCACACTCTGTCCCATATCCGCACCTCTATCATCGAGGCCCTTGGTGTGGAGGTGGAGTCGTCGACTGGATACGTCCAGTTCATCGTCGTCTACTGCCCTCGACAGTGTGCCGCCAGCAGTGGACTAGCGGCTAAATACAAGAAGGACCTGTCCACCATCACCCGTACCGGTTCCCGCTTCGTAGTTGGAGGAGATCTGAATGCTCGCCATGAGGCCTGGCGGAACTACCAGCAGAACCAGAACGGTCGTCTCCTGTTCGACCACTCACAGCATGGGCTGTATTCCGTTTGGTTTTCGGATGAACCAACATTCATCTCACCGGCGGGCAACCCATCGACGCTAGACCTGTTCCTGACAAATATCGGCTTGTCCAAGCCGGTAGCCTTGAACGAACTCAGCTCCGACCACCAACCGGTGGTGGCTGAACTGGGCTGCAACGTGGCTCCTGCTTCAAGCCTGCGCAAGGACTACCATCGCGTAAACTGGGCCCAGTTTGGACGCGTGGTAGACAGGTACATCATCGACAACCCGCCGCTTGACACCGTGGAGGATATCGACCGAGCGTTGGAGGGACTCCACCAAGCCATAACCGTGGCTGACGAGGCGTGCGTCCGACGAGTTCCTGTGAGGGGTAAGTTTAGTGCCATTGATTCCCACCCCCAACTTTTGATTCGTCTGAGAAATGTTCGTAGACGCCAGTTTCAGAGGACTGGAGATCTGGGCAAAAAACGTGAAATGGCTGATCTGAACAGACAGATTGCTTCCAGAATGGACTCTCTCCGAAATGAAAGTTTCGGGCGTGTTGTCCAGAATCTGGACGACCGCTCCAGACCATTCTGGAAGGTAGCCAAGGTCCTGAAAACTCATCCCAAACCCATTCCACCTCTCAAAGTCGAAAATGATGACGATCGGCTTTTAATCACCCCACAGGAGAAAGCAAATGCGATCGGCGAGCATGTCGCTTCATCGCATTTGCTTGGCTCGAATATCCAAAGTCCGCTCGAAGATCAGGTTGCGCAATGCGTTCAAAACCTAGATGCCTCCCCTTGTGTCGTGCCTCCGGCGGATATGATTACAGTACAACAGATTTGCTCAGCGCTGAAATGCACCAAGAACATGAAGGCTCCCGGGTTTGACGGTATATTCAACTTGATCTTGAAGAGACTCAGCATGAAAGTGCAGTCTCTTCTAACCGCTATCTTCAACAGATGTTTGGAACTGCACTACTTTCCAAGCATC